GGGTGGCATGGATACAGTCTGTTGACCCAGCTGCAAGGAGCGCTGGATGACATGCAAAATGCGTGTAGGCGCGCACGAGGGCGTGCGCAAGTGCACACGCGCGCACACACCCACACATGCAAAACCCCCCCCCCACACACACACACACACACGCACACACTACTGCGCGCGCGCACACACACACACACACACACACACACGCACAAGCGTAGTGTGCAGGCATCCGTCCCCACCCCCTCACCCAGCAGCGCGCCGCTGCAGTTGAGCGCGGCCATGGCGCCCTCCGCCTGGAAGAACTCTATGAATGCGATGCGCGTGGAGTGGGCAAAGTCCCCCAAAAGACGTATCTTGTTGACCCTGCCTGCGCGGGGGCGTCCACGGCCCGATGTCCGGCGCGAGGGTGGGGCGGGTTTGAGCGCCGTATCTAGGACAGGGGGTTCATGGCTGATTCGAGGCCCTAGAGCAGCCTGACGGCGCTTTCGGCTTGCGTGCCGGCTGCTGGGGAGGATCGAGCTCACGCAAAGGACAGCACGTCAAAGCTTTTGCTGGCGGACGCCGACGCCGACTGCTGCAACGGCGCCGCGCACCCCGCATCCCGCGCCCTCACCGCACAGCTGCTCGAAGAAGCTCCTCACGTCCTCCTTGTCCACTTTCTTATCGATGTTTGCGACGTACACAGTCCTGAGGCACGCGGGGCGCGGGCACGGGCGCGGCGGGGCGCAGGCAAGGGTGCTTGGGAGGCTGCCGCCGGGCCCCGCGCGCGCTGGTGTGCTGCGGGCCCGCAAGTAGGGCGCGGTCGCCGCCGCGCGGCCCTCCTCGACGCTTGCGCCACGCGCCATGCACCATGTGTGTGATGACCTGTGCGCACTTGCACCCCCTCACAGCCACCCAGCCACCCAACCACACGCACGCCCTTCCCCCCCTCACAGCCACCCACACACCCACACACACACACACACACACACACACACACACTTACACATGCGCGCACACGCGCGTACGCTCTCACGTACTCGCAGATCACCCAAACACGTTCGCGCACGCGCACCTGCTGCAGCGCTCCAGCTCGTCGTTAGTGCGGGGCATCAACTCTTTGTTCACCGGCACGATGGCCGTCTTAGACGGCAGCACGCGCAGCGGGCTGCTCCCCAGCACGGACCCCGTCTTGCTCAGCGCCTGCGGGGCGGCGCGCGACGCGCGCACGCGGTCCTTGGGCGACGGGGTTGAGGGTATCGAGCCTCGCCGCGCCGCGTCGCAGCCTGCGGGCCCGCGCTCGCCTGGCGCCCGCCGTCCGCCGCCCGCCCCGCGCCGCGTGTGCCTCAGGGGCGCGGCCGCCGCGCGCGCGCGCGCGCGCTCGCACCTTCTGCGCAGCTGCGTCCTCCGCAAACTCAATGAAGGCGAAGCGCATGGCGCTGTTGGGGTCCCCGCATATGCGGCAGTCCATGACTGTGCCGCAGTCCGCGAAGAAGTTGGCCAGCGACTCCTCGGTCACCTGCATTGGGGTGCACGCCCCGGCGACGAGGGGAGTCGCGCGCCGGCCGGGCGCGGCGCGTGCGGCCATGCGCCCAGCAAGGCGGGGGTGCGAACGCGGAGCTGTACAAGCGCAGCGCCGCGGCCGACCCAGTGTGCGCCTGCCGCCGCATGCGTGGCTGGAGTGCGCCGGCGCCTCTCATAGGGGACAGAAGCGACTCCAACCGCCCGGCCGCAAGCGGCGCTTCAAGCACATATATTCCACACGATCTCCAGCAGTATGATCCATGTGACCAACCAGGCATAGGCCCATGCACACACACCTGCTGGTCAATGTAGCTGATGTACACTGTCCGTCGCACATTGACCTCTAGCCCCCGCTGCGTGCGCTTTTTCCGGCCGCCCCCAGTACCATTCGCAGCCCCGCTGCCGCCGCCCCCGCCGCCGCCGCCGCCCGTGCCGCCCCCGCCCCCGCCACGCCGCTCGCCCTGCTGCGGGCCGCCAGGCGCGCCGCCGTTGGGTGCGCCGCCCCTGCTGCGCCCAGGCCGTGGCCCGCGGTCGCTATTGGCCTGCAGTGCGCACGCAAGGACGAGCCGCGAATCAGGCGGACATGTCGGGTGGTGTGGCACGGGGTATGCGCCCAGGTGTGTAAGAGGTGCATGCGGCTTGCCGCATGCAAGGTGTCCCCTTGAGCACACCGCATGCGTGAAGCCGCATGCAGGGATATTCTGACACGGTGTGATTTGATAACCCGCCCTTGCACGATGTGAAGTTGCGTCCCAAGAGCGCACCCCACCTGGCCCCCTCATGATCCCGCCCCATGCCCCAGCGAGTCGCACGGTTGCGGTCGCGGCGACCCACCCGGCCAAGGTCCTGCTGTGGCACATGTTGCGGCTGCAAAGCGTAGCCATAGGCTGCAGCCGCAGCGGGGTGGCCGGCGAACCCGGCCGGCGTGTAGTAACCCGCCGGCCCAATGCCTTGCAGCATCTGCGGCCCACCCGGGCCTAGCACCATGCTCTCAAGGCTCTCCGCAAGCATAGCTGCGGGGGCAGCAAAGACATGCGTGGTTCAGGCTCACAGGGTTGCGCATGGCACTCGCCGAGCGTTTCGTCGGCACTAGGCCGCTCACACCGCGCTGCGCTTAGCGCGTGGGCCAGCCTGCAGCCCTCCGACGCACCTGCATCAGCCACTGTGCTGTAACCGCTAGTGTCGTGCATGCCTTGGCCCATGGACGGTCCTGTAAGCGGACGGGGAAAGTGTCAGGAATCACTCGAAAGCACCCTATGAGGCCCCAGGGACCTTGCCGCGCGGGAGATTTCGCACCAGTCATAGCGTAGGGCAATAGCATGGGCGCCCCCAAACGATGACCTACGGGCATGCCTGCGCGACGGGGTCTTGGGTGAGCAAGTTCAGATCGCGCTGCAGACGCCCCGAGAAGGCGCAAAGTGACCACGATAGAACGATCAACAGCAGGCAGGTCCAGTGCGCTCACCGTAGGGACCATAGCCCGCTGCAGCACCCGCGTCCATGCCGGCGTGGCCCCGTAGGCAAAGCCTGCTTCAGATAGCACCTAGAAACATCAACAGTTCAGATAGGCCACGATGCGGCTACGTCCGGCGCCAAGGTCGTGTGTCGGGGACCAAGGTGTCGGTAGCTGAAAAGAGGTGGGTGAAACGAGATTCGTACCGGGGTAGGTATGATTGTAAAGAAGGATATACCATCGAGACGAGGCAACCTCAACACCACTTGGTCCCGGTCTCGCCGACTTGTGTGCCCCTGTTCGCACCCAGGCTCGCGCTGAGTGACGGAGCCCCCACTGCCATACCGAACAGGCGACGAGGCCGCCGCTGGAGCTCCAGCCGGCGTGCGGTAAGTCATTTCTATCAAGCACAATAAAGCCCGCCGCTAGCAGCTTGAAGGCCGGACCGCAAGGGCCCTCGTCACCAACCGAACGGTCAACGCATCAGTTTGCCACAGTCGGTCCCAGACTGCTCACACGACAGCTGGCCGCTCGGTGATGGTGACCAAATGAACCCGCCCATGGCTTTGGGCAGACAGGGGCATGTTTACCCTTGTCACTGTTTAGCCCACAGGCTCAGCTGCGCGGTCGAGAGAGCTGCCACTGCCGCCCCGCCTGGCAAAGAGTGCGAGGCGTTCCCCAGGTGACATCACACGCGGAACTCAATTACTCATTCAGGTGTGTGGGTGTGGGTGTGTGTGGGTAACTCTTCGTGGTGTTGGGGTGTTTTTGCGCGGCGTGCGCAGCTGGATGGGATCGGTCAACCAGGCATAGGACAAGCAGGGGGGCAGCACGCAACGTCTCGCGGGGGGCCAGCCAGGGCGCCGATGTTCATGCATCAAAACGCACAGTGCTGTACAAACGCTTGTCTGCAAGCGCGCAAACGCGGCGAACGCAAAGCGCCGGCGTGTGGCACATACTGGGCTCCAACTATCCGCGGTACGAGCGGCTCAACTGGTGCGAAGACTAACAGGTCAGCGCCCGAAACTCGTTGCTCTGAGATGCGTGGGCAACGGGGGCTGCATTCCGGGGTCCCGGGGCCGCAGCCCAGGGGCTCGTTGTGCGGGCTGCGGATAAGGATGAACGCGCACACCTGGGAGCTTACGGGATCAGAGCCGGCTGCTGAGACATGACTTCAAAGGGGCGCAAATCGGCCGTGCTCAGCGGCGCCGGCGTCGGAGAGGCAGCCCGTGCACTGCACAACACCATTGTAAAATCTAGCCAGGCACACTCCAGACGCCGCAATCTCTGTGAATCCCCCCTGCCGGGCAGCCGGCGAGGTGGGGTGTCTGATGAGCGGGTGTCGGCAGGTGAGCGGGCAGCCCCGTGCGCGGGGGCTTTTTGACGGAGGTGGGGGGGTCCCAGAGGGGGGGTGGATGGGGGTGGCACTGCCTTGACGGCCACGCTCCAAACACCCGGGGGGCGGGGGCGCAAGCCCCCAGGGGTGCATAGGCTTGACGCAGCGGGCGGCGCGCGCTGGACGGCAGGAGGGCGGCGCGGCCGCGGCCTCGTCTGCCAATCATACTGCTCTCGAAATCTGGCTGTGCCGGCCGGCGGGGCCCGCTTGTCTGGGCCGCTGGAGACCAGGTGCGGCCCGAACACCATCATGATACCATTATCGCAAATAAGGAGTATAAAGCTAATACTGTACTGTACCCGCGGCGGCCCCTGCGTAGACCCGCGGCCGCCAACCCCGTGGCCCGCGCCGCGACCCGGCAGCGGGCCGGTGGGGGCCGTCGGCACGGCCGCGCCTCGAGCCGGGCGCTGCACCAGACAGGCTGGGAATGCGGCGAGCGCGGCGCGCATGCGCTAGGCCTGGCTTCCTCTGCAAAATGGCGCGGAGCCCGCGCGACGCTGCTGCAGGCTTTGAGGGCCGCGCAGAGCGCTCCCCCCTGCGTGCACGCCGCCGGCGGGGACGCCAAGCGGCGAGGCCGCCTCGGGCAAGCCGCGGGCGGGGCGCTGCGGCTGCGGGGCGTGCCTGAAGCAGGCGCCGCCCGTTGAAGTTCACGCTGGCCGAAGACGGGGTCGCCGCGGGGCGAGGACTGCGGGGCGGCGGAGCGCAGAACTGGGGCGTGGCGGGCAAGGCCGCGCCTCCGCCGCGGCAGGAGGGCAGGAGGGCGGCGCCCGGGTGTCGGGCCGCGCGGGGCAAGTGGCGATGCTATGGAGAAGGGTGCGCCGTGCAGCCCAAAAAACAGCAGGAAGGGGAACGCTCGGTGCGGCACGCGCCCCGTGTAAGGGTGATCAGCGGCGCCGGCCCCGCGGGGCCCGCCGCCCAGCGGGGGGCTGAGGGGGGCCGAGCTGGGCGTGCGCGGGGGGCGGCAAAGGGCGGCAGGCGGCGCACCGGCGCCCATGCGCCGCGAAAAAAAGGATGTGCCTGGGGAGCAGACTCCTGGGGGGAAGGGGGGTGGCATAGAGACCATCAAGCTTCGCAGAAAGAAGGCGGGGCCGCGGCCGAGGGGCCGGAAGCACCCGCCTCCCCCCCGCCCGCCACGGGCAGGAAATGTGCGCTGGGCGGGCGGGGCAAATGCAGTCGCGCGCGGCGGGCTGCAGCGGTCCCGGCGGCGCTGCGCCGCCCGGGGCGCGCTGACCCCTCCACACGCACACTCACGCACACTCTCTCTGCGCCGCGCCGGCGCGCGCGCGCGCACACATGCAAGCGGCGCGGGGGCCTCGCCGCCGCCTCAACGCGTGCGCGCGCGCGCGCGGGGCGTGACGACAATTAAGCTCCCCTCGCGAATGCGGCGCACGAATATGTACAGTATTGGCGATGGAATGTAGTGCCGCGGGTCCTTAGTCCTGACCTGATCCTGGTCCTGAAAGGGGCCCGCGGAAAAGTGGCCCACGCGGCGAGGGCGGGGCCGATGGCTGGCTGAGCGACTGCCGGGAAGCTGCCCAGATCACATGGGGCGTCCCCTCATAAGCTAAGGGGGCCCTGCACGAGAATAGACTACCCACCAAAAGCGAGCGACTACGAGACCACGGTGTGGAGAGGGCTAAGCAAGTGCGTGAATAGCGAGCGCGTGCAGTGCAGCAAAGGGGGGCCCAGAAGGACAAGGCAGGGGGCCGCGCCCCGGAAGGGTGCGGTGTGCGGGTCTAGCTGGGCTGGGGAGGGGAGGCTCCTGGGGCCGGCGCCGCGCAGCGCCGCGCCGCGCCATGCGGGCGGCGTGCGCTTGCGCACACGCCTGCCTGGAACGGGCGCGCGCGCATCGGCGCGCGGCGCATGGTGAAGTGAATCCTAGCACAGTGTGCATGCAGTGCTGCGCATGTTGTGGGTGACCACTGATCCCGAGAGTTTGTCCTGGGTGTGCGGCACGCGATGGGTGCCCCAAAAAGGGCGGGCGCGGGGGGCCGCCGCCCAAGGCTGGATGTGGCGAGGGCCAACAAACGCACGGCCGCAGGCGGCCGCAATCCTGAAAAGCTTAGGGCGCCGCGCAGTGCCGGCCACGCAGAGTGCCCTGGAGACCTGATCCTGGGTGGGGACGGCTGGAGCTACCTGGCTGGCCCGTCAGTTGGGGCGGCGGCGGATCAAGGGCGCCGCGGCGGCGCCAGGCAGAGAGGTGGCCAAAACGCGTCGTCTCAACTTCTTAATTCTCGTAGAATGTGGAGATCCCTGGTAACGAACGAAGGCCCCTTGTGAACGAAGAAAAGAAGGTGCGCGCGGACGCGGCAGGGCGGCGCGGCGGGCCGGCGCGCTGCCGCAGGGCGGGGGGGCAAATCAGGCGCCCCGCACCACGGGCGGCGGGGTCGGCGCGCGCACGCCTCCTCTGGCGCGCCGCCGCGCAGCGCGAGGCGCGTGCGCGGGGGGTGGCGCGCGCCGCGCGCGCGCAGCGCAGTTGGGGCCCTGTCCCTGTTTGCATTGTTGTGTGGGGCTGCAGACAGTGCACGGATTGCGCAGGGGCATGGGCGCTACCGGCCTCGACACGCACGCAGCGAAGCCGTCGCGGGCCAGAAGGGTCGGGGCCGCTGCGCCTTGGACGCTGGGGCGGGCCGGCGCGTGCCCGCTCGCCGCGCCCCCGCCGCGCGGCCGCTCACACAAACCACTCGGGCCGCAGCGCCTGCAGCGGAGGGACGAGCGCGGCGCAGCACCACGACTGGCGCCCGTACTTTGCCGTGAGCGGCGCGAGCAGCTCCCTCACCGACGGCGCGCCGCACCAGGCCGCGTTCTGGTGCAGGTGCAGCAGGCAGCCCGACACCGCAGCCATGTCGGCTGGCGCGTAGCCTGCGAGGCGCAGCGTGTCCGCCACTGGCGCGGGGCCGAGGCCGTAGGTGTGCATCGCCAGGGTGAGGGCGCCGGCGGCGAGCTGGGAGGGCGGGAAGCTGAGCAGGCCGTAATCGAGGAGGGTGAGGTCCTGGGGATGACGCAAGGGGGATTGCAGGACGGGGGAGGGTTGGCGGGCATTGGGTGGGCGGGCTGGAAAAGGGATGCATGTGCGTGCTGGTGCGTGTTTGTTGGGTGTATGTGAAGGGACCGCAAGCTGCATGCAACATGACCTCACAACATCGGTCATGCACATCAAGCAATTGACACACAAACACACACACACACACACGCTCGCACACGCACTCATACACAACACAAACACAAATACACGAAAAAGAAAACAAGGACAGTTGTTGTCCGCTATTCCAAGGTTTGTTTTGCCCCGTTGCAGGGCCCTGAGCGATTGTCTGTGTGCTCTGGGGGTCCAAAGCTCACGCTCAGGCACACTGATAGGGGCGGGCGTCACACCCACACGCTCGCACGCCCCTCCACTGCCCACGCAACTCCTTCCACATGTCTGAAGTCACGCACACATCACACCCACCAGCAGGTAGACGGCCAGCGCCGCGACGTGGGCTGGCAGGCAGTCCAAGCCCTGCGAAATCACGTCATAAGAGGGGCAGGTTTGGTAGCGGGAGAGGAGAGCCCTCAGGAGACACCCCGTAATCAGCTTGCCACCACTGCGCATCAGACGCCTGAACAGCGCCGGCAACGTGGCGCCGAGCCGCTTAAGGGCGCTCAAGTCTGCTGCGCGTGGGCGCACCTGGGCGAAGAGGTGTAGGAAGGTGAACGCGGTCTGCGTGCAGACCGTAAAGTCCAGGGCGTCCAGCAGCACGCGCTCCATGCGCAGCAGGTCCTGGGGCGTGAAGCAGTTGGCCGCGATAGCCGTGAGCTGCTCCACCGTGGGGTGTGACACCTGCTTGTTGTGGAAGGTGGGAGGGCGGAGAGGGGGGGTGAGCGGAATCATGGGTTGAGGTTTGGAGAGGGGGCTGAGAGCGGGGTCAGGCTAGGCTGAGGGGCGCCAGTTGAGAGCCTTTCCTGCGGGGCCACGGCCAGCGGGCGCAGCCGCGGCGCAACGCAGCCTCCGGGCATGGCCAGCGCACTGCCGGCGCCCTGGCGCGCGCGCCCGCTGCCTCGCTGTCTGCCGCCAAGCCGAGCGGCCGCCCGCCCCAGCCTCCCCGTGTGAGGCCCCAACCACCATTTGCAGCAGCCGCCGACTAGCCAGGGCGCGGGAAGCCTCCCATGGTCACACCACCAGCTCCTCCCCTGCCACCAGCCGCCTGATGATGCACCCACCCATACTCTCACACCAATACACACACATACACAAACACACACACACACAATCACACATGTACAATTACTCTCTCTCACCCACACGATCACACACACTCTCTCAAACACACACTCTCACACACACACACACACGCACACATACGCTCACAGCTGCACACACGCACACCTCCAAGTCCTTGCCGGCCACCATGATGCACGCCACAGCCACCATCTGCAGCACGCCGCGCGGCACGCCGTGCGGCGCGGCCGCCGACAGGAAGCGGTCCAGCAGCGCCACCCCGAGGTGCAGCGTCTCCGGCTGCAGCCCGAACTCGTCCGAAACCTCGGCCATCCAGCTTACGACGATCATGCGCATCTGGGGCGTGAGCACGTCCGCGGGGCGCGCGGCGCGCGAGGCGTGGGCCTCGAGGTAGGTGGGGTCTGGGCGCACCTCCGCCTCGCGCGACCGCTGGCACCTGTAGGGTGGCGGGCAGCGGAGGGCGAGGGGCGCGGGGCGGGGT